GGGGGGCCAAGGCCGGGCGGGAGGCCGACCCCGAGCTGGGCGGCGGCGGCAGGCGCCCCGCGGGGGTCCTCGACCTGTCGGACCTGCCGCGCGCCAGCATCGCGGCCCTCGTCGGCGGCGGCCGCGAGCTCGCGCCGCAGGCCGGCAAGCGGGTCGCTCGGCGCCGGACGGCCGCGCGACGGCCCGTCCGCAGGGTTGAGCTCCGACGCGATCCAGCGCGACCGCAGGAGGCTGCCGGTCCCCAACAGCAGGGCGCCCAGCCGGCGGGTCACCGAGAGCGTGCCATCGGAGGAGGACCGCCCCTTCGTGGCGGCCAGGGAGGCGGAGATCGAGTCCCCTATCACGAGCAGCCTCGAGCCCAAGTTGGCGACGGACCTCAGGAGGTGGCGAACCCCGTACAAAAGCGCCTCCGCTTCCAGGGCCGGCATAGACGCCGAGGGCCGTTTCCACTTCTGCCTCCCGCACACCCTCCAGGGGGCCCTCAAGAGGTCCAAGGGGGCGTCCTCGAACGGCTTCCGGTGCCGGCGGTCGAACTCGCTTTCGGGTCGGTCGTGTCGAGACTGGGGCCGCACGAGCTCCATCAGGATCCGCCTGTCGGCCTCCCCTTCACCCCCGTGCAGCTGCGCAGCGGCCGCGGCGAAAGCGCGCTCTCGGGGTGGCCGCCTCTCCCGGGCCGCCTCCCGAGCCCCAGCTCGCTCCGAGTGACGGCAGGCCTCCTTGACCAGGGCCACCGGCGGTCGTCCCCGAACGGCCCCAAGGCCCCACGGCGATGCGTCCACCACGACGACGTCCGGACAGGTACCTGCTGAAGTGTTGACCCAGATGAGCGGGGCGATACGGTCCCAGATGTCGAGCTCCTTTCGCGCTGAGGCCCAGAGGGCCCGAGGCCCCCGGGCTGGGCATCTCCGCGCGGCCTCACAGAACCTGTAACAATATTTGAAGACGCTGAGCGACTCTCGCCTACACAGGCCGATGAAACACAAATGGCCCAGGAGGCGCTCCAAGTCCCCTCCAGAGACCGAGGCCCGCGCCAAAATACCCCGAATGGCGAGACGAGCCTTCCAGACGCGCTCGGGGGTCGGGCGGAAGGTGCGCCGAAGGCAATCGATTTCCCACCCCAGCACGACGGCCCGATCGCATGAGACAGACTCTTTAGAGGCAGCCCGCGAGACTCGAGGGCACGAGACACCCCTGCCAAGCGCTCGCGGACAACCGCTTCGCTCGTCGAAATCACAACATAGTTATCAACGTACTGCGCGTGAGGGGAGGAGGCGAGGGGAGGCGGAGGGGAGCCGTCCGCGAGCCGGGCTGCAGCAGGGGATCCTCCCTCCTCGGCCGCCCGCTCGTGGATCGCCTGGCACCACCAGAGGGCCCAGGACCAGCCCATGGGCAGGGCACGCATCCGAGGGATGACCCAGGTCCCCGGGGACACCCGGACGCCCTGGACATGAGAGATGCCCGCCCACGAGGCCCGAATTTTACGCAGCCCGAAAAACTGGCGGAGCCCCTCCGGGAGCTCCATGTGATAGAAAGCGTCTTTTATATCGACCTGGCCGATAAAAACGGGCTGACCGAAAGATTCGTCGTCATGCACCTGGGCGAGGGTATCGCCAGACACTAAGCTGACAGGGGCGGGCGGCTCAAAATGCTGATTAGACCGACGACAGTCGACGACCAGGCGCTGCTTGCCGCTCCCCTTCTTTACAAAGAAGCAATCCACCACCTCGGTAGCTCGCTCGAGCGTCAACTCGACTACGCCAGCCTCGACCAATCGCTGAATGAATTCGCCGTATAGAGAGGGGGAGTGGAGGCGAGGGTCACCGTAGGGCCGAAGGGGGCCCGAGTCCTTTAATTTCGTTCGAGCCACGTCGATGGGCAAAACTTGCGACTCAACAAAGCGTGCAACAGTGCTTTCCCCGCCGGATCCCCAGAGCCGAGCGAGCGGAGTCGGGACAGACCCAGCTGCCGGAAGGGACACGCGGGAGGCTTCATAGCCCACGGGGCCCCCCCCTGCGTCGTAGGGGAGGCCGAGGCGCAGCGCCTGGAGGGCTGCCGCCTGCGAAAGATCATCTGGGGGAGGCCCCAGGAAGGAGACAGAGGATTCAACATGCTCGAGCATACGCTGCTGCCCGCGGCACAGATCAGCTGGTACAGGTACCCCATCACGGCGGCCGTGGAGCGTGTTGAGACCCTCCAAGCACCGAAGAACGTCGGCGTGACGACGCTGCCGACGGCCGACTCTCTGCCGGCAACCTCGCGAGAGCCCAGGTGCAGGTGGCCCCGACGAGGTGAGCAGCTCCGTGGGGAAAGGCAGCAGATCCCTCCCCACGTTCCTGCCAAAATCTCCCGGCGGCGCGACAGCGTGCCGAGCATCCCCAGTCATGTTGGGATCCCCCCCACCAGACCTGAGGGACGTCTGGGGGGGGCGGTCGAGCATCACCCCTGGCCCTGCCCCTGGCCCTGCCTCCGCCGGCCCAGCGACTCCCGGGCCTCGCGCGCCTTCAGGAGGCTCTTGGCCAGCGAGGCGTCGCGCTCCAGCTCCTGCTTGGCGCTCTCGAGGAGCGCGGGCGACACCATGAGCCTCGACTCGGCCCGGGCGGTGGCGCCGAAGGCGGCCTGCTCGTCGGCGGTGAGCCTCCCCCCGGAAGAGCCCGCCGTCCTCTCGCGCAACTTGTCGCTGTAGCAATACTCGATCGTCTGCAGCCGGCGGAACATCATCTCCACCGAGAGGATGTTGGACGCGTCCACCTGATCATGCTGGAGCAACGCCTTCAAATAGCTGATCACGCTGGCGTACTCCTCCATGCCCCACTGGGTGTCCTGCAGGCCGCACAGCTTCTTACAGTGCTCGAAGTGGGACTCGAGCGAGCGCCCTTCGCCCGCAAGGTGCTCGAGGCACCACATGGTCGTCCTCGGCGCGATGAAGTCGGGGAGGTGCTCCTGGCGGCAGCTCTCGACGAGGTTCTCGAGCGTCCGGAAGGGCCTGCCAGCGCGGTCGAGGCGGACCGGCAGTAGGCGACAGTCGGGCGCCACCGCCCGGTCGGCGAAGTCCGACTCGTCACCGATGGCCACCCACTCGACGAAGAGAGACGACCCGTCTGCGAGCAAGACGACTCCGCGGGCGGGGGTGCCCGCCCCAGCGAAGCCCGCTGGAGGGATGATCACATCGCCGTAGTGGTACCCCCTCCACTCCTGGGCGACGCGCCAGTTCCCCACGGGGGCGGGGGCGGCGTCGCCAGCGCCTCCCGCCAGCACCAGGGGTCGGGCCCCCCCGACCACGGCCGCCGCGAGCGCCGCTCCCGCGGGCGCCGGCGCTCCGCCCGCCTCCCCGCCGCCCGCGGCCGGCGCAGCCCCCGCGGCCGCACCTCCTCGGCGCATCAC